TCTCTCCCTCTGAGACGAGAATGAGCCTATGCGAGCATAGCATTGACCACTCGGCCCCCCATATGTTTTTCCATGGAGGCGATCCACCGTCTTCATCGATATGAGGCCGCACACATGTAAGGTGAGAGTCATGAATACGCCATGTAATGCAGGCCACAATGGTGGATCCGAACCACTATCCGAACCTCACCGTGATCGTTTGGAAGACTGGACGCCTAATGAAGTCGAGAATTTCCTCGACCAGGTGAGAGTTGTCTCCCTTGCGGAAGTTGGTCCCACGGATTCCGTGGCACGGAAGTCAGGTGCTGCTCGATCGACGCCCATTGAGTCTGCCTATCTTTGCTGAATGTTTTGTACTTTTTGGAAACCTACATCACAGGGATAAAACTCCCTGGCCAGGGCAACTATGCCATCCGCAAGATATGCCTCAGTACAACTAATGTCGCTGGCTGGGGCAACTATGCCATCCGCAAGATATGCCTCAGTACAACTAATGCCGCTGGCTGGGGCAACTATGCCATCCGCGAGATATGCCTCAGTACAACTAATGTCGCTGGCTGGGGCAACTATGCCATCCGCAAGATATGCCTCAGTACAACTAATGCCGCTGGCTGGGGCAACTATGCCATCCGCGAGATATGCCTCAGTACAACTAATGTCGCTGGCTGGGGCAACTATGCCATCCGCAAGATATGCCTCAGTACAACTAATGCCGCTGGCTGGGGCAGCTATACCATCCGCAAGATATGCCTCAGTACAACCAATTTTTTGGGTCGGGGCAACTATGCCACCGGAAGATACGCCGCAGGTTCGCGCCATAAGATGGTGACCATCTGATGGTCAATCTCCACGGCACACTACTCCTTTGGATCCCTGAAGTGTATTCCGCTCCTATCGCGTATTCACGTTTCTTGAGTTATGAAAAAGTTACCGATAATAAGCTCCGACGGGGAAGAAGCGGAAAGCTCGAAACAAAATAGTCAGACTAACATGAGTCTGCTTAACCTCAGCGTGAGCAATGCTCGTCGAG